CCAGCGTGGTATATTAGGCCAAAACCTCATTTCTAAATAAGGGTCTATGTCCCTATGGACTGTTAAAAGCTGTTGATGATGATGATGACCCTTACATATAATAATTAATCCGTAATAATTAATAGTTAATCCGTGCCAAATTATACTTGTGGTGTTACAAAATGTGAAAATAGATATAGTTTCACATTATTTAACACCAATAAAAGCATTAAAATATTGTAAAAGACAATATTACTAATATGCTTTTTAAGTATTTATGCCGTAACTACTCAACCGAGTGTAACTATATTTTGCATAGGTGGCTAACACATTGCCATTATAAAAAATTGATATTTAGTAAGCTACCATTTCCGCTGTTACGGCGCTGTGAGTAAATATAGGAGAAATCCAACAGATTGTATTGAGGAATTAAAAGTATAAAACGTACAAACACTTTCAAAAGTTTAAAAACTACAATATACTTAAGACATGCTGGGCCCTTATTGGACTTTTGAGTAGAGTGACCAAGTAATTAATTCTAGTTCACGATGCCGATGATTTACAACACTTACCGAATTGTCAAGGTTTTTATGTAACGATTTTTTTTTTAAACTACCATTAAAACTTTTATCGCAATGGCTTTCTCGAGAAATGTAATGTTTAAACACCAGTATTTCTAACTAGATTAAGAACAATATTATCTACTTAAATAACACAGATAGCTCTCACATGTAGGAATTGAACCTACAACACTCAACACGGTAACAATAATGATCGGTGACCACCATACTCATTTTATTAAAACCCTCGGCAATAGGCTTCCCTCTTATGTAACTAGGGTAAGTAAGACTAACATAATCCAAATGTAGGAGACTCATTACGTCTCTGTGCATTTCTGCGGGGATATAGACATCAGATTATGAACGGTAATACTTCGCAAAAATTACGTAAGTACTGACCGTTACGTATTCTTATAAATGCATGCTAAATTAACTTGTGAATGCGCTCACCTAGCCTATTACGTAATATCTCAAACGTTTTCGACACAACGAACATATGGGACAGTTTATTCTGAGCCAAGAACGCACGACACTGATATTGTAAATTCGTCTATGTGTCTGTACTGCTGCGTCTGACACTAAATATGTTTGGCAAATGTTGTAAATATTGCGCTGGAATTCGTTTTAAATGCTGAGGCGCAGCAATGGTTTTTACCAACTGACCTTTTTAATGGTTTAGTTTTATTTGGAGTACGAATCATTAGCACTAGTAACCGTAGAAAATGTATTATGTTTATGCCTCATTTGCCTTTGTAATACACAAGCACAAGTTTTATAAATTTAAATCTGTCGAAAAAGCTGCACTAAATTCTTTTGATATCTTCGTGATTAGCAACTATCAGGTTGTAGGAAGCTACAAGTGGTCCGACTCCACTAAAACGAACACCCCTAGTGTTCGTTTTAGTTCGTGTAGGTGTGAGAAACTTCTCTTCATTACTAGTTTAATACTTCGGATACGATTGTTCGAATTAAACCCTCCAGGGGACGGCTCAATATCCAAGGTCAGTTAGAAGGCCGAACATGCGGTCGATCACCTACGATTTGGACAGGACCCGTTTCGCTAAGAACGGAATTAAAAACAAACATTACCTATTCAACCACGACCATCATGTTAAAAATGAACGACTGAGGATTATGTCTTTAAAACCTTTGTATCACTAAAACACTTTTTCAATTTGGTATTTAGTAATGTCCGTGTGGTGACGGATTAATAATACGGCGTCTCACTACACCACACCTATTCCCCTTAGTAAGTGCCGACTAAGGGAGCAAACTCTGCGGAATAAGAACACTGCAAAGAGAAGGAAAATTTGAACCAAACTCTAAACCAACCCGTCTGGCCAGCGTATAGTAAGGCCAGCTAAAACCTAAGGAGAGGCCAATGTCCAGAAGTGGACTATTAAAGGCTGTTGACGTGTGATGATTTAGTAATCCTAATTTTATATTCCGAAATATAAGCAAATTGCAAACATTTAAAATAAACCAATAAACATTTAGAGTTCTTTGCCCCTTCTCTTCGACTGTAATAAGGTTACAGAATATGACACAGTTTTTGGCAATCAGAAAGTGCAACATTTAAAGTAACGTTAGAATTTGCACATCTACAAGTAAGTCTGAAGACGACGTGATGTTGTTGGAAAGCAAACGATGTTCGAAAAGGCGCTTGCATGTAAATTGAATCCGCCTATAGTCAGCGTTCGTCACCGGCGATTCCAATAAGTGAGTCATACGGTCGTTTATCGGACCATATCTACGTGTTATCGAACTGTTTCTTTCCACTTTTTGTAAGGTCTAAAAAAGATTTACACTTATGGTAAAATATTTCCGTGTGGTAAAGGATTAAGAATACGGAGTGTCGGCACGCCTATTCATCCCGTGGGTGTCGTAAGAGCCGACTAAGGGAGCTAACAATGGAGAACAATAGCACTGCAAAGAGAATTAAAACTTGAAAGAAACCCTATGCCAACCCGTTTGGCAAGCGTGATATAGTAGGCCAAAACCTTTCTAAGGAGAGGCCTATGTCCATCACTGGACTGTCAAAGGCACAAAGACTGTTGATGGCGGTTGTATAAGTGTGTATGATGCTAACTAAAATGGCGGGATAAGTTGAAATTCGTAACGCAGATCAAAAAGATGTAACAACCACCTTGCCTTGAGAGGCAATTCGCGTGCTTTTAAAGCCAGGATCGATACCTAAAATATTGCCAATGTGTCAAATTGCGATATTTTAGCATATATTTAATTTGTATTTTAAGGTTTAAAGTCACAGATTAATGATTTCTTTGAAATAAATGTTGGCTGTTTATTTGTCTAAATTAAAAAGAGCTACCAAAATTCGTTAATTATTTCTACAAAACTGTCTCTTGTTTCCTTGACTTGATGTCTATCAATTATTACGTGTACGAAAGTGAAGTTAACTATGATAGGTATAGTTTGAGTGTTTCTAATTCTTTCATGTAGTGGGATATTTTCTTATTATAAAGAAAAAACCTAATATGACAACCATGCTACCCCGTTAGTGTAACTTTAGACCTTACTTATTTCTTTCAACAGCTTTTAATAGTCCACTGCTGGACATAGGCCTCTCCTTAGAAAGGAAGTTTTGGCCTACTATACCACGCTGGCCAGACAGGTTGGTATAGGGTTTGCGTCAAGTTTTCCTTCTTTATGCAGTGCTGGTGTCCTGCGCCCTTAGTCGGCTCTTACGACACCCACGGGATGAATTGCGGTAGTGACATTCCGTATTCTTAATCTGTCACTACATGGACGTTTGCACGGTTGCACATAACTGATATAAATTTAAAATGTATTTTTCATTTACATTTAAATATAATTTTAATTCATAATCATTGAATAGTTATCATATATAAATCAAGCAGTTTCATAAGTGATCTAATGCTACCCAGAATGAAAATCATACTTTTACTTAATTTAAATTTACTCAGATTTTTAGTTTATTAAAAATAATAATTTAAACACTAAGTTAGATAATAATAATTGCCATATCATTTAATGTACATTGTCCACAACTGTCATTTCAAGGTTCTGAGTTTGATGGTTGGGAAAGGTTTTAGATTTAAAAGTATAAAAATATGTCTATCAGCAGTCTGGTTACCTTATACAGACTCTGCCTTGTTTGGGATCAGACGGCAGTGTGTGAGGTATTTTTCATCATGAATTTAGCTGAATTCATAGTTTTAATTAAGTAGGTACCTAACATTAACTGAAATGTCTCTGAAATGATTCCTAATACTATAGTGCATCTTTAAGAAGTGTGTTCTTGAAATTACATATCATGCTAAGTGGTTAAGAGACTTCCTAACATCCCAATACAGTATTGGAGTAGAAGATATTTGTATAGAATTCTTGACTGATAAAACTTTGTAAATGAAAAGAAAACAGATGTTAGCAACATTTTAATATATATTTTTATTGAAATGAATCCAATCATACATTATCTTGGATTTTTAATGTACGTTCTTTATTAAAATAATAATTATAATAATTACAAAATAATCCTTATTGGCATTACAATTATTACACATTATATAAAAAAAAAGTTACGCATCATTCGCACTCTCAAAGCCATAACATGGACAATAATTCTCTAATTTATTTACTTTCGAACTCCTTCACTGAAATTATTAAAGTTTGAGCAACACTCCAAAAAGTTATTGTAATTGAAAAATATTGATATAAGATTGTGCTCTGCATGCAAAGACTGCTTTAAAGCTATGTGGACATTTTGTTAAATTAACTACAATTAAATGCACCATTGGAGATCTCCCCTTCTCTGATCAATTTGATGTCGTATAATACTTTGTTCTGTGTGCAAGCAATATCGAACAACTTAAACAAACTGGATGGATTTCATACTACGTTCCATTCATAGATTAAATTTTAACATCCGTAACTAGAAATTTTTTGTAGTTTTTATATAATAATCTTAATGTAATTGACATGCATCCTTCAAATAATCAAAAGCCAGTAATAAATGTAGTTTTCATATTGCTCACACAACCTTCATTTCTCGAAGAGTGAATAAATCAATGGATGAAGTTTGACATTCAGTCATAAGTTCTACGGATATAAGACGGGTGCAAACTTTGCCCACACCTAAGTACAATACAGTTATTCAGTATAATCTCATTTCTATTAACAAAAATGGACACCAAACTCGTTGAATAGACTCTTGCGACGTAAGAGAGTGTACTGTCCAAAAATAAGCCACATTCAGACACTTCTTTATTCATTAATATTCATTCCGTACTGAGTGTAACAAAATGCAATAAAATTTAATAGTTACGATAGCGATTTCTCTATATTTTCATAGATAAATACGCGCCGGGGCGGGCCGCCGCGCCACCCCGGCGCCCGTAAACATTTGAACAAGATTTACTCTTACGCGAATATGTACAGGCGTGGAGCGGCCGCTGCGGCTCAGAGCGCAGCGGCAGGACATCATTGGCTCTTCAACTCCTTACCGATCGTGTAAGAGACGAGCCGCGCCCAGTCCACCTTGGTACGCATCACCGGCAGCTGTCGCCGCAGCGCCTTGAACGTCGTGTCACTCATCGTCTTGTAGTTATCCGAGATAGCGGTTTGGTACGCGTTTTCCGCGTCGCACACCAGCCGTACGAACTCTTTCGCCGTGGCTGCCTCACCATTGGCAGTCACAGGTGCCCGAACCTCCTTCGAACTCACTAGCTGAACGTTACCATCCTCGTAATAATGCACTTGTACCCGTAGCATGCCACGGAGTTCAGCCGCACCAGCACCTACGGTCATTGACCACACCGAACGCCACCGTCCATTCCAATAGTTCTTGGGCTGAAACTGGTGGTCTTCAATACATGCTACAAGTTGAACTACACCTGAGTCGAGAGTGCGGCCGACGACGAGGCTCGCACCGTGCTTGAAATGTGCAGCCACGTACGCCGTCAGCTCCTCGTCAAGTGCGGCCCGCCACGGCTCTGCCACTCGATCTGGCTCGAAGGGTTCATACTCGGAAGCCTCTTTACGTAGGTGGTCAAACTTAAAGGAGCGTTTGGATCTTGGGTCAAAGAATCTTCCTCCACCGAGCTCATTGTGGTCCGTGATGAGAGTGTAGAGTTCCGAGCCTTCGAGGCGCACGGGCGTTAGTTGATCCTTGTTGTATTGCGCGAAAGCTCCGCTTGCTCCTTCTTTCAAAAGGGTGTCATTGTTTAATAGAACTCTTACATCGTTAAACACCTCATTAAATTCTCCCGGTGGGGAATGTAGTATAAAATCTGAAACGATTCTAACTTTTTCCTGATCACTAATCACTTCGTCACCGTCCGCCGCCATTTTTGATACTTGTGACACTAATGACGGATTGTCGGATATGCAAGAATTAATGCAGCAGACGCGTTCAATTTTTTTTTAACTTGCTTGACCTTGGTGTTAAAACTTAACACTGATAAAATAGTAAAGTTGTAGGATGATGATTGGTGATATAATGAGCTTATTTGGTGTTAAATTATGCCTCTAGCAGGAATAACTTTCGAGGTTAAATAAAGCAAGAATAATTATTTTCAACAGTTGCATTACACATGTACTTTAAAATACCTATCTTTACAAACGTAAATGAAAAAGTACTTTTTTAATAAAAAAAAAAATTGTAAATAATATAATGTTATAAAACTATATGTATTGATTTTCATAACGTTCCTATTTCTTTCATCTGCTTGAGATTTGACAACTTGACGTACCTGAACTGACACTTAATGAATTGTATTGAGTGTTGTGTAACTTACTTTTTACAAGGCTTTATTCCGTCTTCAAGATGAGCCAGCTTTTGCGATACAAATACACCGATACGCCTGACGGCCAAGACATATTTATGAAGACCGTGGCGGCATCTAAATATGCTGCCTTGGCCGGAGTCGGTATGAGTACTTTTGATGTCCTCATGTATTCTCATCCCAAAGGTATCACTGGTACCGTGGGAAGATTCGCCTGGTATATCGGCCCTTTAGTTGGAATGGCTTCAGCATTTACTGTGACAGCTAATGTAGCAAGAAACGTACGAGGTGTTGATGACAAATTCAATTACTTCTTGGGTGGTGCCGCTGCTGGTAGTATTTTTAGCGCTTGGCAGCGAGCGCCTATAATTGCAGTGCCGGCAATGGTGATTCTGGGTTTAGCGGGGATTGTAAAGAAAACCTCAATGCAAGAGAAGTGGGAGTTTTTCCCAGATGTTCATCAAGCAACTAAGACAATCAAATCAGTTAGACATGACTGGACTTTAGTCAAAGATCTTGAAGATATGAAAGGCTGGACCAAAGGTGAGGTTTAAATATGTATGAGCTATAAACTGACTCTAAATAAATTGAATTAAAACCTTTAAGTTTTACTTAAGTGATAATAGTTTTTTGATGAAAGTTTTTGAGAAACTTTATTCAAGAATCTTGTAAATGATCATTCCTGTGATCGTGCTGTGCTGTGCTCACAAGTGTCATCTACTTCTTTTAAATATGGAGCATAGTCAGTATAGCATTATTTCACTAAATAATGTTGTTGATAGAGTTTAAGGTTAGTTTCGTTAGCTATTCATTGCTTAAAGAGTTGAAGTTGATATACAAATTGTTGTATTATGTTTTTTTTTTAAAGACAACTCCCACGCTAGGAATAAATCCTATGTCGCGGGGGACTTTACAAACATACATGATACGGACACAAAGAACACCCAGACTCAGTAATGATACTGTATGTGTTTTCAGTTGAATAATGGCAAAATGTGACCTCTAATTGAATTGTCAATAATTGCTAATTATTTTTAAAATTATTTATCTGTTTCAGGCAACTAAATGTACACAAGTCCAGAATTAAAGAGAAGCAATGATTGTAGAATGTACATAATATCAAACTTGTAATTTTATTTTATTTAAGCGTTGCAATAAATCATGAGATGTTTCCTAGAACTGTTTATTTTCTTACAAAGGTTATGAGCCCTTATGGAATCCTGGTGATTATTACGTATAAGCTGACCCATACACCTTTATCTGAGTCTTTCAAAAGGAATACAAAAAAATGTTCACTGTTTTTCCATCACATCACATCACATCAACAGTCTTTAATAGTCCACTGCTGGACATAGGCCTCTCCTTAGAAAGGAGGTTTTGGCCTACTATACCACGCTGGCCAGACTGGTTGGTATAGGGTTTGTGTCAAGTTTTCCAACATCTTTCATTATTGATCGGCGCCTACCGTTTATATGGTGGTATATAGCCTTCCTCGATAAATTGGCTATCCATCACAAAGATTTTTTCAATTCAAACCAGTACAGTTCAATAAAATAAACAAACAAACTCTTCAATTTAATAATATTAGTATGAATGAGATTCTTAAGTACAGGTGAATGATTAACAGTGATGGGCCTGTTGGTATAGTGCAGGGATTCCCAAACTATTTTTTTTCTAAAATGAACTGATATCTCAGACCCCCATAGGCAAATTACTGTATGCATATCGACTTGTGGAGTTTCTAACAATCAAACAAACAACAATGGTACTTCCTACTAAAATATTAGTCATTCTTATGACAAGTTGGTACACATAACACAACTAATACAATATCTTGAAAGTTTCAAATAAGAACTTGTTAGTTGACAGGGGTAGATTTTTAGACCTTGTAGACCCCTAGGAAACTCCATTCCAAGGGGTCGATATCAGCCACTTTGGGAATCCCTAGTCTAGTGGCTAGTGATCCTGACTGCTTATCCAGAGGATTTTTTTTTATTGGGTTTTTTATCCACATGAATATATCAACCCCATGGTGCCTTATGCTATCTACATTCCACATATTCTAAATCTAATAAGAGAAGAGATATACTAATCTGTTAAGTAAACTAATTGACTAAGTCTTTTTGCCACTTATGATTTTTGTTGAGCGAAAATTGTTTGTACCAACCCCATGTCTAATATCAACATCAACAACAGCCTTTATTAGTCCACTGCTGGACCTCTCCTTAGAAAGGAGGTTTTGGCTTACAATACCACGCTGGCCAGATGGGTTGGTATAGGGTTTTTTTTTCAAGTTTTCCTTCTCTTAGCAGTATTTTTGTCCTGAGTAGTTTGCTCCCTTAGTCGGCTCTTACGACACCCACAGGATGAATAGGGGTGGTGACACTCATATTCTTCATCCGTCAACACACGGACAGTCTAATATATTCAAATGAAATTCACTGATTAGCTTTTCCCCCTCATTTTTATTACTGGCACAATCCATGAGCAAAGGTACATCCTCCACCTTATTACAAGTAATACAACTGTATTATTACTATTACACCTAACTAGGTGAATTTGTTTTTTTCATTAGGAATAAAAACTTTGCCGACGGATAGGCCCAAGCAAGAGGGTGAGGATTCAAATCCCCCCCAGGACAAATATTGTGTGATGAGCACTATTATTTGTTCTGTGTCTGGGTTTAATTTATCTGTAATACGGTGTTATTTATCTGTAATATGTATGTATTTAGAAATATTTTCATCAGCAGGTTGGTTACCATAGTACAGGCTTTGCCTAGTTTAGGATCAGACCGTGTGTTAGCCTTATGCTATTATTATTATTAACAGGTGTTTACAAGTTGCTATACTAATGTAAATAAACCTACGCCTAACTGACATATTAAATCAAACTTTCTTTAATTTACTATTACAGAAAGTTTAGTACAATTTGGTATCTTGGAGATGTTCTGATGCCAAGGTGGTGAGTAATAAAACTCTTCAGTGGCTACTCAGTTTACTAGCATCACACTCAAATACTTAATTCTTTTTGACAACTTGGATAGGTTTTTTTTTTTTTTTAATTTTATTAAACTAATTTTATGGTATGTTAGTTCTGAATAGATTAGATGTCTTATACAACTGAAAAAATAATGAGGATCAAGTGACAGAAATGTCTAGTCAATTGAATATACTTACTTTTACATGTTCATCATCACTGCTCCTATTTGAAGCTTTGTACACATCATGTAATGTATATATAACAAAAGTTAACAGCGATAGTTATAATTAATCCAAACAAGTCAATAACAGTAGATGGTATCTTACGTTTTATCCGAATCGACGGTATATACGGAGAAGAAAACACAAAATATCTAATAGATATTTTATTAAACACAAAATAGACGTTTTTAAATTACATTACACATTACTTATAGATTTTGAATATATATGCGTAACTGAATCAGAATCTAAATCCTAATTGTGATCCTAATCCTAGTTATCTATACTAATATTATAAAGCTGAAGAGTTTGTTTGTTTGTTTGAACGCGCTAATCTCAAGAACTACTGGTCCGATTTGAAAAATTCTTTCAGTGTTAGATAGCCCATTTATCGAGGAAGGCTATAGGCTATATATCATCACGCTAAGAGCAATAGGAGCGGAGCAGCAATAAAGAATGTTTCAAAAACGGAGCAAATTTTAATACTATTGAAAGACGCAGACGAAGTTGCGCGGGTCAGCTAGTAATGAATAAGGCTACAACTCAAACCTTTCAAATTCAGGATTTCAGACCTTATTCAGATCCCAGTGATGATAGTTTTATACGCTGCCTGTAGACCTCACTGGTTAGCATAAGCCTCGATGCCAGCTACTATAAAATTTCTTATAAATCAGCAATTTTCAGAGTAGTTAGTTTAATTAATGTTGAACAAAGTTAAGTTGGTTGTTGATTTATAGAGTGTACTACTTTAATATATTCCGAAATAATTATTTTAATGAAACCATGTAATTATTTTAAATTATTTATTTCCTTACAATTAAAAAACAGAATTAAGCATAACAAAAATGCTATAGTAAATGTTAAATTATTGCATAAACAATTTGGATACTTTTAAAATTTGAAATGAGCTTTAGTTACATTTTTTTTACAATTCATTCTTCATCACATACGAAATAAAATATTAATAGTGTATTCTTTATCATCATCATCATCAACAGCCGATAACAGTCCACTGCTGGACATACCTTAGAAAGGCAGTTTATATTCTTTATATGTTGATGTAATTCTTAATACATGTATGTGTCTTTTTAAAGAATACTTATTTTCTTATTTAAAACATCGCGACGATTTTTAATCACCCCAAAAGATTTCATGATCATTTTTTTTTTCAAATTTTAAATTTATTCTACATTTCAAATGTTGCCAGTAATGTATAAATAATTCTCATTTCAAAATAACAAAATAATTTACAAACAAAAAGTCACAATATCCTTAAATGCATAATTATAACTATAATTAAGTTCACACTGGTGCAAAATTTCATTACATTTCTATTAACTAGGCTAAATTTCCCATACATTAGGAAAGATAGGAAAAATTGGGACACTTCTAGTATACTTACTGGCAAAAAAACTGCACAGTTCATTGAGCTTCAATATATATTTTTAATTATCACTAAATATTCACTTAGGCTCAAAAGGACACCAAGTTATAAGGTTGATTTTTGAAATTAAACTTTAATACAAAAGTATAGGATTGGTTACATAGTGATTCATGTTCACATTCATTGATTTGGATGTTTAAGAAATTCCTTTCATAGTCTCTAGAGCTGAGGATATATGATGAAAAATACTCCATTTTATATAAGATTGTTGTTTTACTTACTACACCTATCTACTGATCGCTCTTGAATACCCCATATAGAAGCATGGGTCTACTCTTTTGTCAATTGGAATAGATTTCAAAATTATCATAAACTTTGCAATTTTCAATGCAGTTTTTTTGCACTTCGTTTTTTAAGTTTAACATTAAAAGTCAATATATGATTATAGAAACATTTAAGTAAAATTTGGCTAATTCGCAGACTTGAAAGTATTAGAAAAGGACTGTATTAATATACTAAGGATTGCTAAGAAGCCCGAAGTAAAATTTGGCACAAACGATCGAACACACAATAAGTATATGTATTAAATTCGTATTATTTATCAAATTACTGTAACAGGGTGAGCGTGTTTGGATATTGTATACGATGACCAACTTGAGAGAACCACCTTCAATATCACGTAGGACCTAAAATCGATCCTTGTGGCACACCAACGTATTCCCAGTATGTAATCATCTGAATTAATACTGCTACATCGTTGATCAATACAGTCTAAAGCTTAATAAAAATCGGTCTTACCATATTTTAATTATTATATTTTATGTAAGAGGTGGCAGACGAGCAGAGGTCGAGGATGTGGAGGGTCACCTGATGGAAAGTGACCATCGCCGCCCATGAACGTCTGCAACTCAGGAGTTTAATCTTCCTTCATGGGTATACTATATCCAACCACACTCTGTAAACTATTCAAAACTACTAAAACATCAAAGGCATAATCAACTTATCCAATAAAATGTACACCTTCAACATTGATATACATGAACAAAGAGATACACTACAACAGAGAGAGAAGCGTAACATAATTAAATACGAGATTAATTGCAGTTATTAAACAAATTTAGATTAACTTTTCTAAATAAATTGTGAATTGTGACTCTATGAAAGTGGAAACTCTTACTAAATATCTTATTTAAATTCTCTATCAAAACATGTTATTTGTTATGGCGATGTGTAATCTTATAGCTCTCTAAATACTTATAGCTAAGGTCAATTACCAGTATCTCATCAGCAAATAATTCCTAAATAAAATGTTTTTAGCCATGTCGTTATAATATATTTCTGTGGACTTGAGAGTTCTAGAAAGGACCTACCTTTTTTAAGTCAATATTGGCCATTCGTGTCGGACTTATTAATGGACGAATTTATGAAAGAATAATTTACATTTAAGTTTTTAGAAGATAATAAATATTTCCTAACAGTTATAACAATACATCAAAATCAAACGACTGCCTTCTATAAAGTCACAAATCACGGCCCGCCATTTATTACCCACTATCAGTACATTCACTCTGTCTTCTTGATTGGTTCCTTTTGTTTCTTCTGCGGCTCTTCCTCCTCCTCTTCTTCCTCTATCTCTTCAACTTCCTCCTCGATTTCCTCTATTTCTATCTCCTCCTCGATTTCTTCATCAGACTCTTCGCCTTGTTTCTATGAAAATGGAAGGATATTATAGAATTAAGTTTTTTTTTTGGTATCTTTTTTTTTATATTGGGGATTATGCGGTATATGACCGTCATCGATAAAGGAACTTTGTTTGGTCTGTATAGTACAACCGTATCTTAAGTAACGGTGTATATATGTACTTCGGGTTTCGAAGTCGACATTGCAGTAGATAAATAGTGAGAGCCTTTTTTTTTCCACCACCACCACCACCACCTATCGGTGGCATGTCGGACTCGAACCGACTAAAACCGCACGCCGTCTCGGGTACTAATAGCCAGGTATACCCTAGAAAGGAAGTCCCTGGTGCCCCGACATACCTCGGGCCATCTACAGACGAGTAGACGACCCCCCCCCGTGTGGGAACCCCATGTTCCCTCTGCTCCCTGGAAGCGAGCGCGCTTCGCAAAATAGTGAGAGCCTGGTGTGAGTTTATTTCACATCTAGTCGATCGTCACGGTGACCGCGTTCAGCGTTGCGATTGGCCGGCAATGAAATCGCCGCTTACTACAACGTTGAGTGTTGTGGCTCTGATCCCCACATGTGACGACACTTTGTGTGATCCACAAATTGTTGTTCTGAGTCTGGGTGTTTTTGAGTCCGTTTCATGTATGTTTGTGAAGTCCCCTGCGGCACAGGATATATTCCTAATGAGGAAGTTTGCGAGTTGATGTGAAATAAACTCACACTGGGCCCTCGGTTCAACAACTGTACTAACGCTGTATAAAAGTAGGAATATCAATTCTTATGGTGCTTTTATGAAACTTACCTCTGGTGCATTCTGTGTCACAGCGCTCGCCGTGGTAAAGTCATCAACCGTCGACTCTGAAACGATTTTAAACATTTAAATTTAGAATCTTTAATTACTTTTTAAAGAGCACTTCAATTTAATGTACTGGTAACCTTTCTTTTCTTAAGTCGGTTAATAAAGTGAAACTTTACAATTTAATTATATGTATTATTTTATTTCTATTCTTATTTACATATTTTTTATTACAAAATTTATTTTATTTTCTTTAACAAATATACATAACTAAAGTCCCTATTTTTATAATACTATGACAACGTTGCTTAGCATCTGTATTATTTGATTAATTAGGTTTCAGCCATACTACTAACATTTCAGCTAAACTATATGTTTTGTTCAATTCTTTTATTCAGTCTGTTTTAAATTAAAATAACATTTACTTTAACATATATTTATTTTATAATTTATCAGGTGTTCTAAAATACGTATTTTGTTCTTCTAAAACCTAAAATTTAAAAATAAGGTAGGGAATTAATTACCGCTGGATGATGATGATAATCCAATATTGAAGAGTATAAACTCGTTTTGGTTTAGTTAATCTACAGTGAATGGTCCTGACAAGCAAAAGAGAGAGAGAGAGAGAGAGAGAGAGAGAGAGAGAGAGAGTGTACCTTGGTCCCGTTCAGGTGTCTCCCGCGGCGAGTCCTGAATCAAGGAGAGCGTCATTTTCCCGCTCACCACCATCTGTGAACAAGAGATATACATTAAGATTTATTGAGCAAAGATTTAAGTGAAGTTACCATGGCAAATAGTATGGGCACATATGGCCCGAATGACTCGACAAGAGTGTCATCGCTTGTTTTGCAGTTGATTGTTAAGCAATTCATTCGTTGCTTTTCACTAGGTATGGGATAAAATCATAATTATCCGTGATTAATCATATGATTTGGAAATCACTTCATAATATCTGTGACTTATCTACAAGACATCTACAGACACAGAATTCGTAACACAGATCGTGCTCATCACTCAATATTTGTCCTTTGTGGGAATCGAACCCACGACCTCCGGCTTAGTAGTCACGGTCACTATAGTTAAACCACCGTAAGCTTGGCCCTCCTGATGGTTTGCGGGACGCGGGGCGGGTGATGCGCTCGACTATACATGACACTATGTACTAACTCGATATCTTCAGATTTATTTGTTTGAGATTTAATCTACACACGATGTAATAAAAATCGAATTTATTTCCATGTATTATAATGTCAGTGTATTGTAAGTTTTTATGATTAACTGTATAATTTAATACTGTAAAATAATTTTAATAAAATCACCTTATGTTCATCATGTAAATTATATTCAGATACAATTCAAAAATTAAGTTAAATAATAAATATTCTTTATTAGAACTTTAACAGTTGAACCTCTGTAAGCCGAACTTCAAGTTTTTAAATCTTTTTGTGACGCAGAGTCGGCAGATTATCCATATTGCAAAAAAATACCATGTGTAGCAGTCTTAAGAAAAATAACACGTAGAGCCATTCTTTTACGTCAGTCACTGCCGGCGGACAGCGACGCACTAGCTAATTGGTTGAATGCACCCCCGCCCCGCGTCCCCCAAACCATCAGGAGGGCCAAGCTTACGGCGGTTTAACTATAACCGTCAAGAACAAATAATTATAAAAGTACATACCGGTGAGTGCTTGGTGGGCTGTGGCTTATCGGCGCGGTCTTCCGCGAACTCCGTCACGAGAACACGCGACTGCTGCGGGATGTCCGTGTCCAGGTATATGGACTGGACGCTCTCAGCCTCGTGCTGGAATGTGGGTAAAGTTTTCATATTTAAATACACTGCGGTATTATGAGTGCATCTAGTTAGGTGAGTGTGATGTGTAGAAGTGGTTTCGAGCCTTAAAGGGTTTAAGCTAAAAACAAGCTCTTGGTAATCCATGTGAAGTCCAAGCATAAGCTGACGCTTAGACCTTTTGCTTTGGGTATTATGGTTTTTCTGTATATTTCTACGAAAGTGCTGTAATGCTGAAATCAATAAACTGGTATCCTATTCTATTCTATCTGGAGCCAGGATCCGAACTACGTGGTTGGACCATCGTCAACATATGGGCAGGGATGCCAATATATATATGATATGTCTAAGTTGGACACCCTTTTTCTAGAGTGGACATCAGCAATCTCATATAAAGTCAAAGGCCCCCGTAAACTAAACGTTTAGGTATGTAAAATACCTAATAGATATTTGTGTTGACTTAGAGCTAGAGTGGTAATCGTGATTAACTATTTTTAAAATACATGTACTAGGTATACAATAATGAACTTTATTCTTATTTGAATAAAAACACTTTTTACAATTGAAAATTTGGAAGATGTGATGAAACTTAAAAGTGAATTGATCTCGGTAGTTCCGTCCGTCTGTAATCAATATTGTTTTAACATAGATGTACTAGAACTAAATAATATTATATATTTGACTGAATATTTAGCTTATTTAGTAAAAATTCTACTGATAAATTACTGGTTTTTCATACAAAGTTCAATTTTTAAACGTATTACACGATCCTTTTTTTGTACCAAACGCGGAAATCATTATTTGCAATAGGAGTATATTACCCCGTATTAATAAATAACTATAAATATACTAAATATTTAGATTATTTTTATATTCTTGATTCGTTTCTATTGCCTAAATGGTCATAAACTTGGCGCTCAATCCTCCGGTAGTTAGTCTAGATATCTAAGTATATACATACGGGGTCAAACTAAGTGCCAGTAATGTCATAATGAAGACCCACGTAAACCTAAACACAGAACCGTATTTGTATTTAACTAAGGTTGAAAATACAAGTTCAACTGCCTGCTAATTGTTTATAGACGGTCTAGTAGCTGCTCAGTTAAATATTTGTTTTATCCTTAATTTTTCGTGTGTCATCTGCACAAGTATGATTTATTGTTGGTAATTGTTTAAATCAGGCACATGACAAAAAGACTAAGGTTTACAAACGTTCAGTTAATTTTAAGAGATTAGTACTTTTTTATAGATATTTTATACAGGGAACAACGTTCTAGAAAACAAAAAAAAACGAACATTTCAAATTGAACCTTTCAAACAAACAATTACCTTGTTACAAGAAAATAAAAAAAACATAGTCATTGTATTTTGGGATAATTGTGTCAGATTGAATCGTTCGATATTCAATTTCTAAAACCATAGACGAGTCAAATTAAAAAAAACATATTTATTATATTGTGCTTCTTAATTTAAATCGGTAGCTAACAAATTAATCATGTGACCAATAACTTTACTTACATAAATGATAGACGTCTTAATACGAAAACTCATGCATATTTATGCTCTTATGTTCTTAAAAAGAAACGTGTTAGATAATAGACATTTTAAAATAAAACTGCTTTTCTGAGCAAAAACAATTTATTTGAGTTTTATTTTTTTACATAAGTCAAAATAAAGTAGAAATGCAAGCAGTTTTATTCTGTGGATATTGTTTTGTGTGTTTATTACATATACTGTTTTGTGGCCCCTAAGTCCGCTGATAAAAATCGCTGACCAGAAATAAGAATTTATAAACGATTGACCCGTCGCGTCATTCCCTTTATACATGTACCGCGTTAATTTAGTATGGTTCAGTTGTTTATTGAAAATTGATCTCTATTTGTATTATACACATAAAACAATTTCCTATAATTTGTACTAAAGCATCAGTCGAGCAAATTTCTAAAATAAAGCAATGCAATATGGAATGTCAAGCAACAAAAACATATATTTTTCAACTAAAAATAAAACTACATAAATCGAATCATATAAATAAATAATAAGTTTGTTTATAGTAAGTTTAGTAGTTTGTTTATAAGAATACTAGTAAGGAACTTACCCATACTACGTCACCCATTTAGGGGGGAGGGGGGGGGGGAAGTTACCATGCTTGGTCACAGGGGTGGAGGGAAGTCTTAGGTTTTCATATAGAGGTTTTCGAGTTGTATTGAAATATGGCAAGTGCTAAATTAATAAAGACAATTATAAGCCATTTTTTTCTGTTTACATACATATTTATGAATTACTACATGAAAACCAGAGGAGGGGGAGGGGCGGCGGCTGGTCACCGAGGTGGGGAAGGTGGGTAAAATTTGTAAAAAATGGGTCATGTAGTATGGACACGTACCCTAACGTGGGTCACAACTCACTAGCATTCTTGTTACCTTCTCCAGCTAAGCTAAATGTTAGTGTTAGGAGTGGGTCATGTCGGTAGGTTACTTGGTAGGGTTCGAACCATTTGATCGCAAGTCCACGCTACCGATAAAACCGTTACTTGTTTGCGACACTTTTTATTTAAATTATTGTAATAATTTTTAATCGTGTCCACTAACAACAACAATGATAAAACAATACATAAATACAGTAGCCTTACCCATACATATTATATATGTATAATAATGTTAAAATAAATTAGGGATAGGACAAATATAAAGAAAAAAAAGTGACGAAACAGGAGTTTCTTAACGTTTTCATTCTAAATAAAAAAAAAAAACAAACAAATCTTCACATCGAAAAGTAGCGAAAAAATTGCTTAGTTGCAGCTCAGAATATTCTAAAATATTATCGGAAAAAATGTTCATGTTGTGTTTTTATTTTTTTCGCTCAAAAATACCAAGAGAAACGCTCACATTAACAGAACATGATTTCAAATAAGAATTTACAATAAGCGCCTTCGCCTCTTCCTTGATGTTTAATTACTTACATTGCTATTTTAGTAGTTTAGGCGCTTATTGACAATTCTTATTTGAAATAATTTTCTGTTAAGTTCGTGTAGTGACGGATTAAGAATACGGAATCTCACTACCCCCATTCATCCCGTGGATGTCGTAAGGGCCGACTAAGGGCGCAAAACAACGCAGGACACCCGCACCTCAAATAGAAGGAAAACTTTACACAAACCCTATACCAACCCGTCTGGCCAGCGTGGTATAGTAGGCCAAAACCTCCATTCTAAGGAGAGGCCTATGTCCAGCAGTGGACTATTAAAAGCTGTTGATGAATGTAAGCGTCTCTTGGTAAATTTTAATGGGAAAAAATAAGAACAAAAGGAAAAAATCCTCCTATCTGGACAGACGTGGCCGAGATGCAACGTATACGGTACTGCCCGACCATAAACAATTGCTTTTTTAACAAGATATATTTCTGTTTAATCTGATGATTGGTACAGCAAGAACAATAAAAGAAAATTTAATAGAAACGTCGATTAATTGCTAAAATGACCGTGGCTGGGCTGGCACAAAAGTTAGGTCAGATATGAATATTTTCTGTTTTGGACAGAATATTCGTTAATGAAGACTTCATTACGCTATTTTCAAGAGCGGAGCGGCGAGCTTAAAAATCTTTGTTGAATAGTAACTGTTTTTGTTGTTGTGATTTCTATTTTATTCTAGCTTGTGCCCTCGACTTCGTTCGCTTGGAATTTAAAAAGCCTGGTAGCAAAATATTATCTAAATCGGTCCAGCCGTTTTGAAGATTACCCAGAACAAACAGACAGACAGACAGAAAAAAAATATTTCAATTGGTTTTTAGGCATAGGTATCGTGCAAATATACGTGTGAGCATAAAGAAACCTATTGTGTTGACATTACAAACAGACACTTCAATTGTATTGTATAGATGTATAGATTAATTTCATTTGTTTTTCATTTCCTAAAATTGACTAGTATAAATTATTGAGCAATTGTAAAATAAACGTGTAAAACATGGACAAAGTCTGAAATAAAGTATTATATTATTGTTATGTCGACTTTTTTAAGCTATTGCATAGCTTCTATCGCGGGCCTTGAGCGTGGAGACCGAATCCGGAAATTCCGTAACGAAAATAACCTAACACCTCCCACTCCGACCGGCACAGCGGTGATACTTTTTAGTTTTGCCATCTATCGATGAATAGCAGAACTTTTTTTAAGGTAGGGTGTTCCTTTGACATGACAAAGGGGGGAGACCAGTTTATTTTTATTAATGTAATAACATCCACATACAATACCCCTCCCACCAAAAAATTTATAATTGGGAAAAGGAGACGAACAATCTGGCCTCTACAGATTTTTTAGCTGGTACCCGCGACTTTGTTCGTGTGGAATTTTAAAACACTGCCTTAGTGGGTTCGATTCCGGAGCCGGGCAAATTTCGATAGGGTTTTCCTGAGATAATTATTTAATACTAAGTTTATTAATACTAAGTTGATAAAAAATGCTATGCAATAGCTTTACCGCGGCAGTCCCCGAGTGCCACACGTCTTTTTTCTCAGCCTTTCGCTGGTAGTATTTTAGTGAGTTTTACATTTACGGACTAAATCAAGTAAATGCCACGGGTTCTTGGGAGAAGTTAATTAGGTCTATTCGTCTATTGCATTGTGAATTTGTTCGTCTATTTGCAGAATTTTTCTTGCGATTCTGCAAGTGTTTAATATAACAGCTTTTTGAAAAAGCATGTAGGTTTCAGATCAAGGAGTTTTAAAACTATGATGTATGTGTTTAGGAATAATACCAGTCGTGGACAATACTACAGGGACAATGTCTACTTTTTGTTGTTTCCAGATTCTTAAAACTTCATCCTTAAGGTCTAGATCTAGATAAGGTTTAGATCCTTAAGGTCTAGATTAAACTGCAGGAACGTATTATTGAATAAAAAATGGCACAAAAAAAATGATTTGTACCATACGTAACTTAGTACTAATATTATAATTTCCTATTATTATATTGAAAGACTAGCCTTATTCAGTATAAAGCAAGTCTTTCAATTCACTTCGGGGCTTCGGTCTATACTGACAATTTTATCAATTAATTGTTACGGAATAAAAGTAGCATATGTGTATTACAAGACGACAAATATATATATACATATGCTAATAGTGTTTTTTTTAGCGATGTTTATATAAGTTATCAAAAAGAAACTCCGGTTTAATCACTATCGTAAATTGTTTGCACGATGTGTACTGTGCAGTGTGGTCTCACCGCACGCGGTAGCGTTGTCGCAGCGGCTAGCGGACGCGGAGCCGGTGCCGCTGGAGGTGTGGCCCGACACGTGCCTCCGTCGGCCAGGTGCGCTGTGACCTCCATGCCTACCACCTAGGGGATACGTGCAGGTTCTACAGGCTAGTAATATGCGATAGGAGACACAGGGGTTTTGTCTTGAAACAAGTTAATATTTAATTGGGCCAGTTTTAGAAAGAAAACAATTCTGATAAGAGAACATCACATATTGGAACACAATAAGGAATGCGACAGCGACGATATTTCACGAGTTACTTAAATAACATAAACATGTAAACACATTTAGACACAGTTGGTAATAGTGAGCTTCAAGCATTTGGGGTTGTATTATCAGGATTAAACTAGAACTAAGTTTATTTCTTTAAAGTATATGAGAACTTAACCAGGTTATCTGAAAAATACCTACACTCCAAATTCGACCTTACGGTAAAGGGGTATAGTCCAATATCGTTATTATATCTTAGAGAAAAAAATCTAATTTATTTCTAACCATAGCCTTCAAAATATCTTCTGTCTTTGTCTATTTTAAAATATTTTTACTACAGTTCAAACTAATAATATGTGGTTGTGTAATAAAATCATAACTTACTTTCACACTGGATTTCTCATTGTCATCTTCTTCTTCATCATCTTTGATGGCTTCTTCCAGAAGTTCGGGTGTCGACTGCTTCTCTTTCTTCTCTTCAATAAGTGCCTTTGTTTCTTCTTTTAAGAAATCGCTTGTTCTATGTATATCTCCATTTTTTTCAACTTTCACAGCTTCTTCGGATTTCGCGAATTCATTTGCTTGGATAGATTCAGTTGATTCGGGTTTTTCCCTTGATGCTTTTAATTTTGCGGGTTCTATCTCTTCTAGGTCTTCATCTTCAATTTCTTCTTCTTCTTCTTCTATTTCTTCCTCCGCCTCCTCTTCTTCTATATCGGCTTTTGTTTCTGGCGTATTTTCTTTAAGTTCCGGTGTTCCAACTTTAACATCTTTATCTAGTTCTGGAGTGGACTTTTTATTATCTTCATCTAATTCAGGACTGGTTTCTTTGACATGTGTTTCTTGTTCAGAAATCGGTTCCTTCTCTACTACAGATTCCGTTAAAGCTTCTTTAATGGGTTCATTTGATTCGTCATCTTCACTATCAATAGCTTCTAATTCTGGGGTAGCGTCCTTCTCTTTTATTAACGTATCTTCTTCCGTTACATTCTTTTCGATTTCTGGAGCAGTTGATACTTCTTTCTCTTCTTGAGGATCAGGGGTCTTTTCTTTAGTCTGCTCTTGAAATTCGCTAGCAACTATGTGTACCGGACCGCTGTTGTGTAAGATTGTACCGTTTGTGTACGGGCGAGTTTGATTATCCTGCTGCACATCCTGCAAATTATAAAATAAATGCTGTTAATGCATCTGTGGGACGCATATTTTCAAAACTTCAGGATAAAACGCATGCTTCGTGGATAAGCTTATTGTGGCCAACTACAAGCTATGTTACACTTATTATGGTTCTAGGAAAGGCTTTGAATCGTGGTGTAAATAAAGTTCAATTTGAAAATTCACACGACCTTATTTACACCGTATTATAAGCTTGCAATTTGAAGCTAAAATTAATGACTACGTCTAATAAAACACAAGGGAGACTCAGGCACACAAAAAAAACTGACTAATTGTAGTAGTAGTATGTACAAATGGCCTATTGGAAAGCAAAACTTAACACAAAAGGACCACTGACGAGTTCAAAGAGACGCGTGAGCTGATTCGGGAAACAGAGGGCCAAGTGCGAGTGTATTCCACATCACCCTGGCTCTCGATAGCGATCGCGTTCGGCTTCACGCATGGTGAGAATATCAGCGCGGGGCAATCGCGATACGGGACTATCAAGTAGATGTGAAATAAACTCACACTGGGGCCTCTGATTGTTATTTGATTACGTAATTCCAAGTCCTGCGTTACTTTAAACAGTAGCCACGTGTGGTTTCTAGATGTTCTACGAAACGTCATACACTATTTACAGTCGGATATTCAACTTCAAACTGAAAATCGCACTAATTATTATTAAATATACCGCTGAAATTTTTATTCTGAAACAATATGTGGGAAAATACATTTGAGTTTAAACAAGATATTCTAGCTAAATTATAAGTCTGAGTAGTGTGAATTACCTACAACAGTTACGCTGCTAATCCTCGACTTACAGTGTTTTGCCTCAACAACGCTCAATCAGTTTCTTTACGTCGGTCTAGTACCCCTGATCAACACTTTTGTTATTCTTAAATGTATTTTAGAAGAGGCAATAATCTAAAAAATACCGTATTGTATTGAAATTAGGGTTTAACACGGTAAAAAACTGTAACAAAGCTTTCAAAGTCAAAAGTAGTTTTCAAAAGTTACAGTGTATTGGATCGTCATGGTAGTACTGTGTTAAAAATTGTTTTCAGGAAAAAGAAGTGCTCATTCGTAGTAACGGATTAAATAATTTAACCTATACTGTTCTAGCATGTTCTTGATATAATATATTATAATATTTAATACTAAGTCCTAAGATCAACATACAGTTACCAACAGCAATCAATTTTACAAATTATTTCGGGTAAAAGATGTGCTCATATATGGTAACGAATTAAAAAAAAATTAAAGGAAAGTTTTTAGTTTTATTCAAAATACGTAACAAAAAAAAATGTTTCCTATTGTTGACAGCAAGAAGCTGGCTAAATAATTCATACAATTTTTGCATATTCAGAAATACCTTTGGGCCCAAGATCTTATGATCTGAATCGCCGTTCCTCGTTGATTTATGAAACCAGCTTAATATATTGGAAACTGTAACAATCTTCTTGTTGAACTATAAACATCATTAATAGTAAATCGATTATTTTGCTTGTTCACTCTATGTGACTTTGATATAGTCTCTGGTTTTTGTGTTTTGAAGCAGATTACGGTTGACATGTTGTACCTTATATTGTTCTTAGTATATGTATTAATTAAAAACTTGAAATTAGTGTATCAGTGAGTAATTCATTCAAATTACCTAAACACTTCTCAGAAGAAGATTCTTCTGGTTGTAAACTTAAGGTCTAGATTAATTGATGTAATTCATTGTTAGGTTTAGGAGAATCTCAAGTACGAAATCTATGGCAATTTTCGCACTAATATGAATTTTCGTGAAATACGAATTCTTACGACTAAATTTGAATTCGTGAAACCTCTAAATTACGACAAATACACATTGAATGTTAATCTGGCAACCTATTTAAGAAAATTAAAACCATAATAAGTTTTATCATCCCTTCCTTCAAAACGTGTATTTTTTTTGTATTTGGGCTTCCTCTCTTTCATTGCCTTCTCTTCTAACATATTTAATTCCCAATTTTCCCATCTAATGCCGATATCCCATTTCATTTCTATAACTGTCTGGTGGATGTCAATAAGCTTGACACCTATAAAGTAGGTGGGATTAAAAATAATAGTTGTCAAAATTGGGGTCGTTTAATATGCCTCAGCATTCTCTTTTCCCCTATAGGAGCATTTATATATATTGTATAATTGGACTAATATAAAAAATGGCCTGATGGCGTAGTGGTTTGTGTAACGGGCTGCTACCACAAAGGTCGCGGGTTCGATTCCCGCTGAAGTCAAACGTTTGTGTACATAAAACATTTCATGTTTGATTTGTTCTGAGTGTTTGTATGTTTCATATTTATGAATGTATTTACAAAAAAAATATGATGTATTTATTCAGTTGTCTAGTACCCATAGTATAAGCTCGGCTTAGTTTCGGACTAGATGACGTTGTGTAAATGTCGCACAATATTATTATTATTAAATTAAAATCAAAAACAATTTATTCCTACCTGACAAATTACAAAATGGCACAGCAAGTGGCCTGTAATATATTTCAGCGGCATACTTATTAGTATAGCTTAAGCTAAGACATGTATACTTTAAAAAATTATAAACAGATAAAAAATCAGCCTTAATTCTTTGTTTAGGAATGTGAATTGTTAGTCAGCGTCGTGTAACTCAGGTGCAGGCAGATAAAGGCTAACAGAGATTTGTACAAACATATAATCTTCGACATGCGTATTTCAACAAAGGAAATTAAGAGATTTTAATATGAGAAAGATTAGTGTGTGATGGATTTATGAAGGTGTGAAGAGGATATAAACAAAAAATTAAATTTTAGAATGCTTTCAAACTATGCAGATTTGAAAACGGAGTTTGATATAATACGATATTTATTTGAGTGTGAAATCAAATCACTTTATTTTAAACGTCAATAATGAGTTGTGACGTCATTCCTTAGCTATTTTTTAAACCACTTATAATAATATATGATTTGACCAACAAAAACAATAACTTAGAAAACGATTTTTACAGGTTTATGTCTAATTTAATCTCACGAGAACTATTAACTAATTTATATATATCGTATTAAAAAACCGAACTGGTATTGGTTGTGGGCTTCGGTTTCCGCATTTAGACTCAAGAGTACAAAAAAAAACCGAACTGTATTTGACATTGATAAATTTTGACACCATCAGACACCACAAAACTTGGCATTGATATGTTTCATAGAGATTATTTCTAGAGTTTTCTTTTTTCATAAATAACATCGTTCCTCTCACTTTCCTGCGAACTGTGGAGATTTCACGAAAAGAGACGGAAGTATGCAACAGGAAGCCGAAAAAGCGACGTGCTAAATTTGGCCGCCAGATGGCAGGAGAAGTCGAATATTATGTGTGACATTACAAGTGACTTCTGTAATTTTTTTTAGAGTAACATATTTTTGTACGTGCGCATCTAACTGAGGGTACTTAGTCGTATTATAGAAGTACTTTTTGCATTATTTTTCTTATGTTAGAGGGGGCAGACGAGCAGACGGGTCACCTGATAGAAAGTGACTATCGCCGCCCATGAACGTCTGCAACTGAGGGGTCACAAACATTGTTCCACAGATTGGTTGTGCGGGGCAAAAAGACTAATTTTGTGTACCCTCTGTTTTGAAGTATTTATAAATACAGCACTGCTCTACGAAACCACTGTTTTAATATCCATACTGTGGTGTGTGTGTGTCTGTCTTTTATCCCTTCACGCTTAAAGCACTGAACTGATTTAGATGTAATTTAATATAAAGAGTCCCGGGAAAATACATAGGATAGTGTTTATCCGAGAAATCATTCTTTAAGGGGGTGAAAGTTTGTATGGGGAATCAATAACCGCTGAAACTATTCAGATGAAATTTGGTATAGAGATAGTTAAACACACGCGGATGAAGCCGCGGGCAAAAGCTAGTTCATTATATATTCAAGCTGAAAGTGCACTTGCATCTTTTTAAAAGAAAATTTTAAAGAAAACTTCAAGCATAAAGCTCGCGTTCAAAAGCGATAATAAGTCAAAAAGTTATTCAATGTGAAATATCGAATGGAATAAGTATGACAGCTATATGAATATTTCAAAGATGTTTATCGCAATGTTAAAATGAAAACTCATAGGTGAAAAATTCAAGCCAAATGAATTAAACCATAATTACAAAATAATATTGATTTAATGAGATTATTTTCTGAATACGACAATAAATATTTTAACTGAAATGTTAAAGTAACAAATTCGAAAAGTAAAAATATTAAAACATATAAGGCAAATTAAAACAATGAGACAGGAAAGGGATTAGGCAAGGCAAAGGATTCCAATCATCCAACAGACAAGGCTTTACTTCGGAGCAGAATACCATTAATATTTATTCATAATAACATAAGCTTAGATTTCAAAGGAAATCACGGTCAAATAATCAAACTCCACTCCATCATAAAATGTGATTAAATATCGGACAATGCGATAGAACATATCTCATAATTAAGTACGAGAAAATCTTTTAAAAACACAATCATGCCTACTTCGACAAGGAACATAGGAAAAATCTTATTGGGCAGTGGGATAGGGTAGGGTTGCTACATGCATTGACCTGTCGTTGCTGATTCTGCGCGTAGCTCGCCTCCATCTGCTGCTGCACCTCAGCTACCAGCCCTGATATGGCGGTAACAACTGTACCCGATAATGTCATACATTAGTCAACTATTTCCGACAAGTTATTGTTCGTAGTGAACTTGGTTGGGCTCTGCCACACACCCAACGTTTATAAACTCTTTTTTCATAAAATCATCTTTTTTCTGCATTTTAATAATAATTTGAGATTCTGAGGTTAAAGCAACAAAATGTGTGCTTTTCAAAAACATTTTCCAGTAACAGTTTCTTTTTGGACTTAACAAAGTTTAAAAATCTTTTCAAATTGTAATTTGAATACAATGTATTTTAACGCGTAAGATATGTTGAAAATAAAAAGTTTATACTCAATATCTCATGAATGAATCTCAAAAACTAAATTAAAAACAGTAAAAATAGACACAAATACAAACAACGAAGGACGCTGACCAAAATAGACGGGATGCATCACACGATTGGGCATGCTCCCCACAGCTGGACGTGGGCCAACTCACACTTAACGCATCTCGTACTGAACTTGGCTTGGTCATTTACAAAGTGATTTTTTGATAATTCGAAAGTTATTTAGTTTTGATATATTTTATTTTAGTATTCAAGATAAAATCCAAATATTTCATCTAAAAGTAAGAATTTTCATCTAAACATATTTTAAAACATTTTTTAACAGTTTTATTACTTCTTTTAGCAATAAAATAGCTTAAAGGGACACTCAAAATTCAATCTTAAACATTTATGACTTAAGTCTTAATTTCCACAAACAATGCAAACATGTTTTGTAAAGGGACACAAAATATATATACATACGTATATCCTATATACTAAAACATACACATAATATAGGTTAAAGTACTTGAAGTATATTGCTGTTAACAGGAAAACATAAATCCTCAACTATCAAAAATCCACCATGTAAACAAAAATAAACTTCATTTACGTTACTTAAAGTCCACAATCGTACAGATGCACCGTCGTTGCAAGTTAGAATACAACCCGAACAACTAGAAAAGGTCTCAACCGTCACCATGCCGCAAGCCGCTAGATACACATCTAAATAATAGGGGTTATAACTCTGGCAGACATGATCAACTGGCCTATTAAGTGACGTGTAGACTGATCGTATATTTTGCTAATTTTTTTTTTATCTATTACTTTTATTTATTTAATTAACATTTTTAAGACAAGGTACGTAAACCATCTTGATGTAATTGTATTTCAGAGGACGCTGAAGATTAAAATTATTTTTTAAATGACCTATAAAAACTATTATTATTAAAAAAAACCTTTTACAGTAACAAAATGGAAAAATGAATTTATCATAACCTGATGGATCAATTCTTTAGTCTACACCAGGGATTCTCAAAGTGGTCGATATCCGCTCCCCTTGGGGTCGAAATCGGTTTCCCAGGGGTCGACATAAACGAAAAATGAATTTGGCGGTCGACGAGGTCTAAAAATTCTTATTTGAAACTTTTAAGATACTGTATTAGTTGCTTCGTTGTAAGAATGACTAATATTTTAATAGGAAATATCATTGTTGTACTTTTGAAAAACACGACATGGGGGTCTGAGATATCAGTTCATTTTAGAAAATTGGTCTTTTGGTTTTGAATAGAGTAAACTTTTTTTAAGTTTTAAATTTGAGTTTTAAATTTAAATTTCAACGTCCACAAAAAGACTAATAAAGTCTACCAGTCATCTTTTCAAGGCCAGTTCCTCATCCCCCAATATACCGCGTCGCGTTGCGCCAGTTGACTGACGATCCTTTGCATGGCGCGTTCGGTTTCCGCCAGCCGCGCTCTCAGAGCTTCCAGTTCCACGTCTCCTGAGCACCATGTATATTTATATTGACGGATTTGAAAATACCCTTCAAGTAGTGAATATATGCCAACAGTCCAGTTGACTACACCAGAAATAATTAACATGACTTCGAGAAATCAGACATCTAAGTTCAGACTAAACCAGAACAGATCCAAAGTTGATTTTTCGTTAACATATATAATTATTTATATTTACGAGCATTAATGCGATCATGTAATAGGTATTGCGTATCTCGGGGCACCAGGTACTTCCTTTCTAGGGTATACCTGGTTCCCCGGCTATTAGTACCCGAGACGGCGTGCGGTTTTAGTCGGTTCGAGTCCGACATGCCACCGATAGGTGGTATCCGAGGGGATTTCCGCACGGAAAAAAAAAAGGTATTGCGTATGTCGGAATTGACTTACGTTTGGATCAGGATCACATGTTACAGGTACCTGTGACCACAGCCAGATCACCTGAATGCCTGTTCATATTCATAATTATGTGTAACATAACTTCAGATGTTAATTATTCAAGTGCTCATTAAAACCACATTGTCAACTAGACATAAAAAAATATTTTGTTAAAAAAAATGTATTCTATTTTCAAAAATAGGATACTATTGGCTCGAATAAGTTTAATCCTACATAGTTATAGAAAAAAAGGCCTAAACAATTACATCTTTTGGTCTTGGTCTCTCTTCTCTAGCTTGGAAATAATTTTGAAATGGAAATCTTGAAGTCATTAACGATTCCACTATTTACATATTTTTTTTTAATTCGAAATACTGGTAAGTAAATATTCTTATAATCAGTGGCAAAACAAAATATAAATCTGTAATGTAATTTCTATGACGGTGTGCTTGCGATATTTCTGTAGTGCGTCTGTGCCAATACGTTGCATCTGATTAATGATATTGAATACAATGTTGTGTGGTGAATGGTTGATATTTCCTATGATATTGCACATTAAAACACGAGGGTATCCATATTATTTAGACACAAATATGTAATGGCCATATTAAAATATTTTTTCTACCATCTTGAACCTTTATTTCCAGAATATCCATGTTACCATATTTTAAGACAAACAGTTCCACGTAACAAGTTCTGTACAGCGCATGTATTTCAACAATTGTAACTAGTATCTTCGGTATTACTTAACCGAATTTGATAATCCGTTTAGAATTGATAAAAAATTGTATCATTTTCAAAGTTATCTGTCTAATTTTTGAAAGAGATTAAGTGGTATTTAATTTAACATCGCGCTACGATGTTTCGGAGCTTAGCAGTGGTGATAAATATGAAAAAAACTGTTAGGTAACAGCTGCTGCTAAGTCTAAACTGTTTGTTTATTAGTATTATTGTGTATTACTTCATTTTTAAAGTATAAATAATAATACGTGCCCAAAACCTTTGTTATTTTAACTAAATTTTTCAATTTTATGACCAATCGTAATAATATTTTCCTGTTTATTAGGTGTGTACAACAATCACTTACTTGTATCACGTTCTTTTGGTCCTGCGTGCGCAAGAGTTTATTGATTAGATTACTTATTTACTTACAATTTCTATACTTAATCATATGAATAAACGTCTGTTTTTTTTAAGATCCAAAAGGACACAAGAGTCAAAATTGCGATGCCCTTACACTCCCCCCCTCCAGAATCAGGGACAACGAAACTGTCAGTAAGTTGCAAATAACGAATTGTTTAACACCAGTTTATATGAGGCCCTGGTTTTACTCTACTAGGGATAATTGATGTAGTAGAAATGGAACAAAATTAGAGTAAACTGTGATTTATAATTCCATTTTTTCATACGCAGGTTAGGGTTGCTACTTTATCACGCGCTGTTGCCAATTTTGCCTATTTAACAGTAAATCTTGTATTTTTTTAATTATTATGTAGGGAATTGTAGCTATATATAATAAAATTACTAGATTTACTGTTAAATAGGGTCTTTTCAAAATTGATGTACATACATATATGTTGCATGACCTATTAATTTATTATGATGACATAAAGATGATCGCCGATTAAGCTTTGGTAGATTTCCCATTATTTATAATCTAGCTATTTGCGTTTAGCTATCCGCTGGTATGTTTTCCATAGAGTTTAAAACATACCCAGCTTGTCAGGTGACGTTCTGGAGTCGTCGCGGAAGACTCGCCGCCTGAACTGTGGGTCTGGAGAGATGGGCTCGTACGACGATGTCCCCGTGCGTTTGAATAGAATCTGAGGAATATAAGAAATATAATTATTGCGGGTTTAATGGAATAAAATTTAACCCAAAATCAGGCTAAAATAGGTTTTTATTGCAAATAACTTAAATATATCCGCCTAGAATTGGATATATATTTGATAGCATTTGTGATAGCTGACCGGTGTGATGTCCCCTTTCCTATACAGGACTTGATAGGAGAACTTAGGTATATCTTATTTATAACTTAGTACTTACTTAAACTAGTCAAACTTACATGCAATCACCAAATGACATCCTCATATTTCGATGTATCCTTGTGTGTGTGTGTGTGTGTAAGTTTGATTCTGTCCGATTGTTATTTTTACGACGACAGACGGGTTATTATAGGGTTTTTTTCAAGTTTTCTTTGCAGTGCTGTTGTATGGATGGATGATGGATGAGATGGATAGAGGTGGTGACACTCTGTGTTCTTAATCCGTCACCACACGGATATGGAAATTTTATAATCTATATTTATATAAATGTTTAGTTGGTTTGTGTACGCTTCAAAAACTTAGAAAGTTCTGCACCGTTTGAACTCAAGTTTTATACAAAATATTTTATAAAGATTGTTTTTTATCTATTTTTCGTTTTAGTTTTGTTACTCATTTCTCATCACTTCCACCACGTGCCACAGCTAAGCGTGGCAGGGTACAGTTAGTTATATATAATGTAAATGGCTTCGATTCATTAAAGGAATGTTATTTTAATTCATCGTCCAGGTAAACCATTAATTTCTAGTGTAAGTTGAACTGTCATTGTATGGACTTTATGTACCATGATTGATCTATTATATTGGTTACCTGTCGTCTATTGCAGTGTTTACACATTTCGTTTAAATTTATACAGGATTGTTTTACACAAATGTTAGTATTTTACACTTCAATAAAAACGTTAAGTAACAAAAATTTAACACTCCTCCTTTACTTAAAAAAACATTTTTAACCTACTTTAAAAAGGAGGAGGTTATCAATTCGGATGATTATATATATTTTTTTGTATCTTTGGGCATAACACCGTCATTTATAAACGAATTTGCAAAATTCCTTTTTTGTTCGAAAGGGGTTTATTCCGAAATGGTTCCATTTAAATTTCATAAAGATCTGATGATGAGTTTCGTTAACAGACAATGAACTCTTCAAATAATGACAGCAAATGAACCGCAATTGCTGTTAGGTTTTTGGTGCTATTTGTTAGTACTGCTTGAATTTGGTTCAACGTTTTTTAAAAGGATTTTCTTTGTTTTTTTTTTTTTTTTTTTTTTTAAAAGACAACTCCCGCACTAGGAATAAATCCTGTGTCGCGGGGGACTTTACAAACATACATGAAACGGACACAAAGTACACCCATTTAGAAGATCACGTGACACACAGTTAAATTAAAAACTGTCTCATACCTTGCTTAGAGTGTACACGAAGAACACAATGATGCAGATGGTGTAGATGGGCATCACGAAGCCCATGGATGACTTAGGGGCAGGCACAGGACCGCCGGGGTTGCCCAAGGGTGGCCGCATACCTGGGATCGGTGGTGGCTAGAATATAAGAACATTTAATTACAGCATAAGTCTAAAAAACGAACGAGTTCTATCTGTATAATGAAAATGAATTGTTGTTCGCTAGTCTCACTAAAACTCGAGAAACGTATGACCGATTTGGCTCATTTTGATCTTAAAATGTTCGTGAGGATCCAGGGAAAGTTTTAACGGTGTAAAAAAAATTGATAAACTGATAACTTGCCCAATATCACGCGTACTAAGTAGCAGGCATAGTTAGTAATCTATACATATAAAATTTCTTGCTCTGCCTGACTTATTCATCAATACTTGGTCACTTTCCATCAGGTGACCCGTGTCTGCTCGTCTGCCCCATCTAACACAAAAAAAAACCCTTGGGGCTATAAACTTCAAATTTTGGCAGCTGATTCTGTTTAAGGACCCAATAAGTAGGAATTTATGGAAATTTCACCCCTAAGAGTGTAAAATAAGGAATGAACGAAAGGAACGGTAACATCGGACATCTCACCCACCATCTGACGCTTAATCTTACACTGTGCACGCTTATTGGTCAGATCAAATAAAACACGCTTACCGGGCTTCCTGTTTCACACTTCCGTTGCATTTCACGCAATGACTCACATTCATTACATGAAAGGGGACTTTCATAATTTTTGCCATAGACAACTAGAGAAACCCAACAACACATTTTTTAAATCTACCTAATCAAATATCTTATCTCATTATAGATCACTTTAGACTAGAATGATAGTCAGTTATTTTGTTGCAATCGACCTTAGACTCAATAAAATAACTTCCGTCTAGGTTATTTGAAGTAATTGTAATGTTAGTCGTTCTACCAAAGCGTTAGTGACAAGCAACATATCTATCTTGAATGTCAGCCAATCGACTTAATACATAGTATAAAACCTTCTTAAAATATAATATTATTGATTGATAAATGCCACATGGCAAGTTCATTTTAAATATAGAACAGATAAAATATTCTTGTCACAAATAATGATAGCATCAGATTCAGAAATAGACTCTATTAAAAAATTACACAATTTTAAATTCAGAAAATGTAGCTTTTAATGTATGTAGTGAATTTAAAAATCAGATCTCAAAGGATACGGATGTACCGCATTTTTTAAGACCGCGTTTTGTGTCCGTGTTATTTAAGGCCAGTATCAATAAATATTGATACTGTACTTTTACGTTTATCGATTAGTATCAGATAAAAATGGTATCATATTCATCAAGGTATCGAAAGCTAATCATCATACCGCTTTTTTTTTCTACTTAGACATACAACGAAATCTACAGTCAGTCTATACCTACAATGTGTTTTGCTATTCGAATTAGTCCTTAATTTTTCATTGTTTTTGAATACATATGTAGAGATGCTCGATTTAATGCAGCTGGTAAGGTTCTCGCCATGTATACTATCATCACACTTGTCTTCAGACATCCCAGTCAATGTCAAGGATGTGATCACAATAATATGGTCTTTGCTTCCGGACATAAATTATCGTTAATATTTTATGGTGTCATGTCACACATGTGTACTTGGGGACTGTTTCGAACTATAGAATATCTAAAATTTTACATTTTAGTTTTAAATGATAATATTTTCGATTAGAATATTTAACTTAAGTACATAAATTGTATTCCCTCATCAATATACTTAGAATGTGTAGAATACACATAGCACGTCTCCAGACCATAACGATGAGTTGCCATTTTAATAAAATAAAAGAAATATTTATTTGTGTCATTGAGAAATCGAACAACTATTTTGATTATACTGATCTAGTAATTGAGCACATTTATTGCAAGAAAATAATAGAAAAAAAACAGTGATCGCCTATTTTAATTTTTTTAATGTACCTGTTTCGTAGAAGCCATATCCATTTTGCACTTCAAAGACCGAGTCTTTTGGCTCACAGATTAAACGCAATTCTTACTAAAAATATTGCAAATTTCAAAAAAAGAATGTTTTGATAAATTCGAAGGCGTCAATTAGAAACGACATGCGCTCATGGTTCCGGCGGCTGGACTGACTCTGTAGCTAGTTTACGATGCGTCTTAATGGTTTCCTGTATTTACGTGATTCGCAATATCTTGTGGATATCTGCGCAAAGATTTTTTGGGACGAATAAAAAAACAACGCAATTTTTTCGATTGAACTTTTTTTTGTATTCAATCGTAGTACAAGGTACGGTCTTGCTTATTGTGTATTGCCCGTATACCCGACTCAAGGGTACCGGCACCGCTGGGACCTTTTTTTCCAGGAGTGAGTGAGAGTGTAGCGGTTCATAGTTTATCTCAAAAGATAGTTTCTTATTAATGATCATTATATAATTAAATATTATTGTTATTTTTATTTGAATAAATAAACATAATAATTACATTTTTAAATACATTTATGATTCATATAAAGAAAAAAAGAATTGAAAATTTAAAAAAATAGTGTCCAATCGGTAATATTAGTATTATTTAACCTGATGGCAAGTGACCACCGTCGCCCATGAACACTTGCAACTCAAGCGTCATAAGTGCGTTGTAGCCCTTTCAATCACTCTCCCCGGATTCAGGAGTTTGAGCAAAGATAGAACTTCCTATCACCGGTTTTCTGTGAGGCCGTGGTATCACTCCGGTCTCCGGTCCGGTCCGGACTGCACGGTTGGCGTAGTGGTTAAAGCGGTCAACACTACTACGATGAGTGTTGTGGGTCCAATCTCCATATAGGACATCACTTTGTGTGATCCACAAATTGTTGTTCTGAGTCTGGATGATCTTTGTTTCCGTTTTAATGTATGTTTGTAAAGTCCCCCGCGACACAGGATATATTACTAATGCGTGAGTTGTCTTTTTTTTTAAATAAAAAAAACTGGGTATTGGTCCGTATGTGCCAAAATATGACTCTCCTACGATAAAAGTAAGTTAATATCATTTATCAATCACACTAACAACTAATATCGTCTACTTCTCTTAAAAATAATAATTTATCCCGTTTTTGCAACATTTTGTATAGCTAAATCCTTCCTCGATAAAACGGCTATCCAACCCTAAAGTTTTCAATTCGAACCAGTAGTTCCTGAGATTACCAAACTCACAAACTTTACCTCTTTATAATATTGGTAAAGATAGTATAGAAGACTATGAGTGACAAGAGGGCGTGACAGGTTAAAAAAAGATATAGAGAGAAAGAGAGAGAGAGAGAGAGAGACAACTTCAAAAAAACGAGAAGGTTGTCAATGCCGATGTTTTTTATGTGTGTTACCTCAAAACTCCGATTGGGAACCTTCTGTCATACTGGATATACATACTTCAGTGTAAAATGAAGGAATGGAGACTACAGAGGGCGTAGTGCGCGTTTATTTCGCATCAACACGCTCTCTACGGTGAGCGCGATCGGCGTTGTGATTGGTAAAGATTTCATTGCGGGCCAATCGCACCACCGAACGCGGTCACCGTGACGATCGAGTAGATGTGAAATAAACTTGTTTTAGGCCCTCAGAATATTAAACTTCATCATGAAGTAATCGTATTGAAGTCAGTGATACTTTTGTAAAAATAGTTTATCGATCGCCAGAATGTTTTAAGCCAAAGATTATAAAATACATGACCTCTTTTAATAGACAAGTTAATAAAATCGGCTTTATAGCATTTAACGATTATATTCCGGCCATAAAATGATCACGTGTTTAATTATAGGAGATTCTGTCGCAAATCGATCGATGGACGATGGAAAAATAATCATGAATAGATTATTTCTAAAGAAGAAACGTTAAGGAAAACTTTTGTAATCGCCATGTAAGCTTCTTTGAAAAAAACTAAGATAACGGTAATGTAATTTGGATTACTTCCACCAGGTAATACAAGTAGCACAAATAGTATGCAGTCAACACAAATGGCACCTAATCATAATTTGATAGAAAAAGCTTTTATGTGGGTAGATGAAGAAATTTCATTCTATCCGTGTGGTGACGGATTAAGAATACGGAGTGTGACCACCCCTATTCATCCCGTGGGTGTCGTAAGAGCCGACTAAGGGAGTAAACTACACAGGACAACAACACTGCAAAGAGAAGGAAAACTTGACACAAACCTTATACCAACCCGTCTGGCCAGTGGGGTATAGTAACTCAAAGCCTCCTTTCTAAGGAGAGGCCTATGTCCAGCAGTAGACTATTACAGGCTGTGGATGTGATGTGAACACGCCTCCGTCTACCCGTCTTCGGGGATAAAAACGTGAGTGTATGTATGTATGTACGTAAAATATATCACGAAAATAATGTAGATCATACTAATACGATTCCTTTCTACATATCTCGGAACTTTGCCAAAGCCGTAACGGAAATTAAAAGTAAAGTTAGTACATAACCCGTCGAATGTGGGCTCGCCATTGCCATTCTGTTTAATGATAAATATACGCACAGATAGACTTTGAAAGGGAAAACGTCTTACATACGACCTCTGTTGCATCTTTTTGGTGCAATGATTAAAATTAACAGACAGTTCTAGCGTTTTATTTGACCATAAAGTATTTGGTGTAGAGAAAGAAGAATTCAGTAACATATTTTTCTTATGATCAAGAGTTTAGTGGATTTCTATGTCCAAAATTAGTTGGTCGAAGTCAGGCAATACAATGTCTCTCAAACTCGATTTTTCTAAAGTATAGGTCAGGTTTGCGGGCCTTAGTAAGTCAGTTTTTTAAAAGGGCGGCTTGATATGTACCTTGTTACCAAAAGACACTACAATATGCTATGATAATCTTTATCAAAGAATAACATAAAGACAGAAGTGTCATCTTGTGGAAAACAATCTATGCCGCTTCAATAATTCGAGTTAATTGATTACTTCATCTTATTTAATAGGGCAGATGTCGAATACGCTATTTCGGAGAAGGGATTTGAGAAGTCGGACTGACAATTCGCATAAAACAATCACTTTCTACGAAAACCCTATAGATGTTTGCGTGCCGTGTTTCTTACAGAAAATATCTTTACATCACATCACATCATCATCAGCCT